TGCCTCGCTGGGCAGCTATGGGCGGGGGAGCGTTGACTGTCATGGTCCAGAGTTGCTTACACCTTCTCTTTGCAGGCAGTGCATGTTCTCCATTCTTATTCTTAAGCATATCTCTGTACTCATGCCACCTTGATTGAATGCTGTCTAGCTCTCAAACTTGGCTTTCCAATAAAGAAATGATTTCCTTGGCTGAAAAGACAGGTATGCCTTAGCCTTTACTCTGGAAAAGCTGACATAGAACAAAATAGCAGAAGTCTCATCCAAATCACTTTCCCAACACCAGCTATTGCAAAGAGGAAACCTGACACCTCCAAGATGCACCTTTTGTGTAGCCCTATCACCTCCATCTCTGCTGGCCAAAGAAAACCACCTTACACAGAAGGCTGAACGTGTAGAGGAGATGGATCAGATACCTGCAGAGTGACATCCTCTATGCTGGGACTACCTGGCACTCAGCAGCCTGGAAAAAGACTGATCTACCTGTTTTCAATGTTACAGCTTCCTGATATGCAATTTGGCATAAGGCCTCTGGTCAGCGTCTTCTGCCTGGAAACGATCAGCAGAAGTCAATGCCTTGGAGCATGACACAACTTGGTCTCAAACTCCCAGTTTGCACTGCAACATCTCTTCCAGAAACTGTGAACTGTGGAAGGTGAGTCACAACCCTGGGGTAGATAGTGGTAAGTAATGTTTCAGCCAGCATCTAGCAGCAGAACATAAACAGTGTGTAGTCTACCTCAGTATACTTGGATATCATCTAATCCTGTGTCCCTCCAACACCAGTGTAATTTTACATCAGAGTAAATTTCAGTGTAAATTGCACTAGTGGAAGAGTCATACCTGGGTTGCAAAAAAAGTGAAGACTGACCCATTTTCATTCTCTCATGAAGAACAAAATGTCAAAATAAATATATCAACATTAATAAAGAGTGCAATTAATTTTTAAAATGTAATTTTAATGCTCAGAGGAATTTCTCAGAACAGTAAAGGTAAAACACTCTGTATCTACACGCATTCCTCTCCATCTGTAATAATAGAGAATAAGACAGTAGACTAGCCTTCTGCAAAAAGTGTTCCTGAAGAATATGCTGTGATGCCCAGTGTCAGCCATGCTAGACATGGTCTGATGCAATTAATAGCTTTAATTTTTATGATCTTTAGTAGAAGTTGCCTTTCCACATCATGGGTCTATCCTCAGAGAATCCCTGGATAGCCAATATGAAGAGCACACAGAACAAAGCTTCTACTTTTAAAAAATTCTAGTATAATAAAGGCCTTACTCTGTCTGTCCGTCCGTCTGTAATGCTTTTGCTGAACTGTGCGTGCACCAACTTGCTGTGGGCCAGGTGGGCAGGGGTGGGATCAGCTGAGTTAAAGCCAGGAGCTCTTGAGCTGGTGCCACCTCCTCCTGCAGCTTCCTGTGTGGGGGCTCCCCCCGCCTCACCTCCACGCATTAGAAATAAATAATTAGAAATAAACCAATTGGGAATCGCTAAGGAAAACTGGAGGCTCCTTGGCCGGTGCTGCTGACTCCTGCAGCCTCCCTGCTGCAGCTTCCACTACCTGGTGCAGCTTTTGTCACAGGTAGAAAATCAATAAATTGGTATTTGTAATTCATTAGTGGTGAGGCCAGCTGAGGAAAAGTGGAAGAGGGCAGCGGCAATTGGCTCCCTGCCCTGGCTGCAGGGGCCCAAGTTTGCGCAGCTGCCAGGGAAGTTTGGCGGTGGGGAACACACACTGGCCACCCAAGCAGTGGAGCAACCCCATGCCTCCCTGCCTGAGGGCAAGGGGACGGATCAGGGTGGGGGCGCCCCCTCTTGCCTGGCCTGCCAACCCCCACGACAGCTGGGAGGGAGGGGAGGGGAGGTGGAATAGGCAGACCAGGGCCAGGTGGACACAGAGCTGCGGCAGGGGGCATGGAGTGGGGCCGGATATGTCCGTGTGGCTGCCCCTTCCCTGCCAGGTCATCCCCCGGTGTCAGCACCCCCTGCGAAACTGCTGACTCCCAGCCCCGCACTGGCACCAGCCCCGGCCCCAGCCCTGGCCCTGCACTGCCCATGGGGACCCAGAGCCAGGGGCCGGAGCAGGGCCAGACTTGACTGCACCGCGGGCACAGGGGGGACGGAGCCCGTGGTGCCCCCGCACCCTCCCTGCCCACCTTGGATCATCCCGAGGAAGAGCCAGTGCAGCCTGGTGGCTCCTCCAGTGGTGGTGCCTGTGGCAGAAAGCCACCTTGGTTTCTCCCCAAAAATCTCTGCCCTGTGACACTGTGATTTAAATCTCTGTGCTGTGACCATTCAATTAGGGTGGGCCCAGCACACAGGGGACCACACCCTCAGCCTGTCTCTTTAGGGAACTGGAGCTGGCTGCATTCCTGAGGGAGGGGGAAACCTGCTCCCTCTGCTTACGTGACTGGTACCTGGGTGAGGGGCATCTACCTGGGGAGCTGGAATCTGCCCGGTAACAGGTGATGCATTTCAGATTGGTTGGCTGACAGCCAACTGGGGCTGACCTCCGCTGGCCCAGGTGAATGAGGTCACAGGGGCTATATAAGTTAGGACGGGGAAGGAGGCGGTCTCTCCTCTCCGGCCATGAGGTGACGCAGCAGCCAGGCAGGGGACAGAGAAGCCTTAACATCTGAAACTGGCTCTCTCCCCCCAAACTCACGAGCTAGGAACCGCCTGCCTCCAAAGGGAAACTTCACCTGCCTTTGGAAGATGCTTGTGAGTAAGCTACTCAATCTGATTAGATATTTAGCTGGAAGTATCACAGATGCGTAATCAAAAGGCTACCACAGCCAGACTGTTTGCTCTTTAGGATTTCTAGATATTGCTCTATCCTGTACCCTAGTTTACCCTACCCCCTGTAATCAATAAAGTTCTCCTTTTTGACTGGTGTGGGAGACTTATTGAGGGGTGGGTCTAAATTATGCCTAAGAGACCCCTTAGGTCTGTGGACTAAGGGAGACTATACCTTTTTGCCCCCGGACTTGGGGAAGTACCCCAAGTGCCTGTACTGGGTTGAGTACCCGTGGGACTTTAGGCCTGTGTTACCCCAAGGACACAGGGCCGCGAGACAGTCCATTCTTGGGGTGGTGGTGGCACGTTACCCCCAGACTAGCGAATGTGCTCCGGGAGAGGGGTCGGCTGGACATAAGGCGCCCCTAGGGAGGCATTCGGAGTCTGGAATGTGGTCAGGCGCAGGGAGGTGGGTGGCTCAACGCAGGAGCACCCCCTACTGGCCCGCCTCACATGGTGGAAACAGTGGAGGGATACGAATACCCAGCTGTGTTCCTGAGGTGGGATCCCTGGGCCCGCCACAGCGCCAGGGAGCCAAGGGGGAGCACACGGTCCCCGATATTTTCACAGGGTACGGCAGGTGCAGCTGGGGTCAGGCTCTGCCTGCTACCCGCCCGCATGCCTCACTCCCACCTTTGACAGCGGCCTGGCGTGATGTGCATCCCCACTGGGCATGCTGGGCAGTGAAGCAAATAGGGCCATTCCATGTCTCTGTCAAAGGAGGGAGCGAGGCACACAGGCCAGGAGCAGGCAGATCCCAGCCCCAGCTGCACCCACCCTTCCCTTTGCACAGATCAGGGGCTGCATGCCCCCCTTGGCTCCCTGGCACCCCCCCAGGTGGTGCAGGGTTGGGGCTGGTGTGGGGAGGCAGCCAGAGCTGGGGAGCAGCAGTTTCACGGGGGCCACCAGCGCCAGGCAACAACCCTGGGCACAGGGGAAGGAGCAGCCACACAGGCGCAGCAGGCCCAGCCCAGAGCCCAGCTCTGCTCCGCTCCCTCCCAATCCCAGCCTGCTCCCAGTCCCACTCCCTCCACTCCACCCTTTACCCTCCCCACCACAGACTTGCCCACCTGGGGGGGCACGGGGGCATATGAGCGCACGCTCGGCCGGCCCCCCCCTGCAATTCTTTTTCTCCTTCCGTGTGTGTGCATGCATATATCTGTTCATGGCAGGAGAGAGAGTGTGTTTGTGTCTGTGTCCATGTGCAGAGTGAGTGAGTAGAGTGCACGCCTGTCTACATGTATGAATGCATGCGTGTGTGTGTGTGTGTGTGCACGCGCGTGCATGCATGGGTGTGTGTATCTGTGTTCATGGCAGGAGGGAGAGTGGGTTTGTCTGTCCATGTGCCGAGAGTAAGTAGAGTGTGTACGTGTCTGAGTGCATGTGTGCATGTGTGTGTGCATGTGTCTGTGTTTCTAGCAGGGAGAGTATGTTTGTGTCCATGCATCCATGTGCAGAGAATGAGAGTAGTGTGCTCCAATTTGTGTGCACACCTGTGTGTGTGTGTGTGTGTGTGTGTGTGTGTGTGTGTGTGTGTGTTTGGCCATAGCGGGACGGGGGGGCAGGGAGAAAAGAGAGGAATATGCCCCTCCAGTTCCAGCCCGGCAGAGTCCACCCAGACTTCTTCACCAGCACCGGGACAGGAAGGGTCCCAGCTCCCCCACCCTTGCAGCCCAGCTCCTGCAGGGCTCAGGGGGTTCCAATTTTGTGTTTGCCCAAGGCCCCAGTAGACATTAATCTGCCTCTGAGTGCTGGGCCAGACACGGAGCGGCGGACAGTGCGGGGGGTGCATGGGGCTGGATGCGGAGTGGCAGGGAGCAGGTTGCGTGCGGCTGGATGTGGAGCGGTGGCAGCATGGAAGGGTGGGTAGCGGCAGCTGCCGCCATGTGCAAGCTTCTCTCTCCCCCTCTGTTCCTGGGAAGCAGCAGTGGCGCAGGGTAGTGGGTGGCGGTGCTCCATCCCTGCCTGCTCTCCCCTGTCATTTTGATGGGCAGTTGGCTAGTTCCCAAGATAATTCCATAAGCAAATGAGGAGTCTGCACCCTGTAAGCCAGTTTTTGGGTCAATCTTGGTGAATTTTAGTTGTATGTGTGTGTATGCGTTTCTATTTCTTTTAAATACAGTTCTTAATGATCAGAACCTCTAAACAGATACAGGTTCAGGCTGCTTTAAAAAAAAATGGTAACGTCTTTAACTTCCAGCATGCTTGCCATTTCTGTATATTTCCTTGCTTTGCTCTCAAACATTGCATGAATACCCAACATTCATTTACACAGTACAATACAGCAAAAAAGAACGGGAGCAAAATTCCATTATCAGGTTCACAAAATGAATCTAAAGCCAGTAATAAGAGAACATCAATGGTTTGGTGGTCAGAGGGACACTGAAACTCAGATGCTTACCCTGACCTATTGAGTTTTCCACAAGGCTCTGTGCCTGTTGCCTATTTTATTATACCATCCCCTTAAATAAGCCCTCTCCTTCTCCTAATCTGTTATCTCTATCTGGTATATAAACTCTCTTATAAGAATAAGAGATTATTTTTTGTTACATTCATCAAGTGTTTCATCCCTGCCATCTGGAAGCAGGGGCCAGTGATTCTCTTCTCCTCTGCCTCCCCACCTGCTTTGGGGAAGCAGACCTGGGATCTCCTGTCCCTAGTCTTCCTCATGTGTGATGTCCATAGTCACATGTGAGGCTCCCCTCAGAGCTACTGCTGAATTTAGCCTATTAATTTTGCAAAGCTTTTGGCTTGGTGGCCCTTGAAGGGCAAGGCGGAGAGCAGACAACATTAGGGGAAGGGCCTGCTATACCTTCTACCCTCCTGCTATATGGGTCAAAATTTCCTTCTAACAGGAGAAGCTGGGGAGCAAACAGAGGCAAGGGAACTGGAAAGATGATGGGAAGGGAAGGAACAGGTTAGACCAGGGCGTCTTTACATAAGTCCAAACAAGATGGCCCATCCCCAGTGGGTGCACGCTCCAAGACCTCGTTTCCACTGCTCGGTCAGTCTCTTTCCCCTTCCTTGGCCAAGTAGATTACCAGAAGTGGCACTTGGAGGCTGGGTTCATTTGCGATCTGCTGGGGCAGTGGAAGTGCCTGGCAAAGTCCTGGGCATTGCTGAGAGTGCCACGGACTCGCAGTGGCAGGGGGCTGTGGTGATCCCTGTTCAGGAAATCCTGCAGGTTCTTAGGGCTCTGGTAGCCACACATTGCCTGGAGGACAATAGAAGAGTCATGTCAGACTAACACAAGACCCAAAGGGGTGAGATTGCCAAGGGTCCCTATGTAAATTGTTGTCTAAATTTCCAGTTTGTCCCCTGTCATTTAGGGGTAGCATAACTATGGGTGGGAGAGAGGGGCATCCACTCCAGGTGCCAAGTTATGAGGTGCCCTGACAGCAAGAGTAGCCTCATGGCTTACCTGGTCCTTGGGTGCTGCTGCTGCTTTAAGAGCAGCAGCTGGGGTGGGCAGAGCACACAGCAGTGGTGGCAGCAGCAGCTCAGCCAGGGACTGTTTAGTAGTTCCCAGCAGGGGTAAGACTGCTGCCTCCCCCAAGGCCCCTGTTCTCATAACCTGAGCACCCCTTCCCTGCTGTTTATCTGAGAACTGTGCCCCCCACCTCACCCTCTCACTGGAGATGCCCAGGGCACCATCTCTGTTTGTTACACCTGGCTAGGGGACACAGTAGCACATTTGTGAAGGTGGAACTAAGATCTATGCCATCTTCCTTTCACCTGGACAGTACCATGTTCCAATGCAGGACGACAGACGAGATCTATCCATCTATCACAATGACAGTGTAGATCTGTTTCATCCCAAATGAGATGGAAATGGTGTGGGTGGGCAGGGCAAACTCCTTCAGAAGAGGCAATGGCCCATCCTCTGGCTAGGCAGAAGCGCACCTTATAGACTAACTGATTCCAAGATGCCTCAGCTTTCATGCACACCACCTCACTTTGTCATAAGCTATGAAAGGACATGTAGAGAGCAGGCTATCAAACAGAAAGAGCAGCAAGTGTATGGTTTGCAATATCTGGCTCCTATTGGCTCCACTGCCATTGCTCGAGGCCCAAGTGGTCATGCTACGGAAACCTACCTTCATTCATAGGAAGCTGGCAGCTGTGCTATGTTCCCTCTGTAGTGAAGACCTTATTTCAGTGACCCAGCCCTTGGGGCCCTGGGATTGGATCATATCTGCACTCTGCCCAGGGCTGTTCTCAATAACCTCACAAATGCTCTGGCTGGCACAGAATTGCAAAGGTTGATCTCTTGGGTACATAAAACCTGTGACCTGCCCTGGCTCCCTATTTACTTGCCACTTGGGTTCCATTTGAATAAGCCTTAAACAGGTCCCTAAGGAAACTTCATCCACCATCCATATAATTACAGTCCCCCTTCAAAAACATCTGATTAGCTGGTTTCCTGAAAGCCCATCTTTCAGGCTCAATTGTGTTTTTGATCCCTCTCCATGTTTTACCCCGCTGGAAACCTAAAGTTCTGCTCACTCCTAGGTGACTGGTTATCTTTTGATGGCAAAGTTTTTTCACTATCATCAGTCATCATCATGGCACTTAGTAGACAGACAGATATTGTAATCCCTGGCCTGGTAATTTTTCAATTCATTTTTCCACAGCTGCATGAAAACACTCTCGGGCTTGAGCAAGAAGGTGTTTTCAGCAGGGCCCCTGCCTCTGAAACCTAATTCCTTTGCTAGGTTGGTGAGCTTCACCACACAGCATAGGATCCTGATCCTATGTCTTCAGTCAGGTCTGAATACTGATGTATTCAGATCATTTAAGGATCTGAGGCTCCTCCTATTTCATGGTCCATCCTTGGGAAGTACAGCAATTGGCAGCAGGGCTATTCTAAACCTCTGAACGATCTAAATCTCTGAAAAATTAGCCAAAACCAATGCTGTGAAACAGGGAAAGAGATGCATATAGAGAAAAAGAGGAGTATTGATGATCAGACACCAAAAACAAGAGAAAGAAAGAAAAAAAGAGGAAGTTAGCTGGACTGAGACACATGACTAAAACCAAATTGATTACATGGGCAAAGCTCAGGTAGAAGAGCTGATGGTGCGAAAGTCCAGTGTGGTGGAAATGCCTCTCTTTTTTGTGATTTTTCAGCCAGTTCTTATAGGCCTGCAGGCAGAGAGAGAAAAATACAATAAAAATGGCAGACTTAAACATTTAAAATTTAACTCAAAAGGAGAAGTCAAATTAAGATAATCTCTTCTTCCAATACAAGGGCTCTTTGGAATCCTTCAAGCTGGGATGGTGACACCTACTTGTCTGGGAAGTCTAGTGTCCATTTCTAAGACATCAAATCCCCTAGCTCTGGGATGGCTTATAACTGCCAGTCCACTATTTTCTGTCATTATTTTTGCTTCTCTTTCCAGACATTACCATACAGTGGCAGCAGAGAGCCACAAGATGAAACAAGAATGACTCTATCCTGAAGGTATGAAAGCAATTTAAACTGAGTCACCTATGTTTGAATAACAGTTGAAATACCTAGCATATTACTAATGTTTTCCATCTAAGGATCACAAAGTACATGAGAGGCCATAATGTTAATTAAGCTTCACACTTTTCCTCTTACGGGAAAGCTGAAGGAGAATTTTTCTGTTCTATTTTACAGAACATGCAGTGAAAGTTTTTGCCCTCCAAAAACTAGAGGGCTCCTGTTCGTCCAGGTCAGGAGACATTTAAAATTGAAGGGAAGCAGCTTAGTTCCTGGAAACTTTTTCAGCGTGAAACAGTAACCCTTTATCGTATGCACAAATGGCTCTAGTGCACAGGTTCCCAAACTTTTTCTTATTGCATGCCCCTTCCAGATTTACCAGATGCCCACATACCCCTACCAGCATACAATTTATATTTTAATCCTTTACATGCCAATTATTATTATTATAATGCAAGCTAAATCAGCCATTACACAACTTCTCTTGCATACTCCATAGAGTTGTTTTGCGTACCCGCAGGGATACACATACTAGTTTGGGAACCCCTCTCTAGTGGAATAAAAAGGTCTAGGACTGGGGTAGCAGGGGGCTGCAGGGCAGGAGTGAGGGGAACTGGTAGACTTGTATGGGTAACATATAAAACTAGAACAGAAGGTGGACTGTGATACCTGGTAGGCAACGGTGAGTCCCCCAGTGTCAGCTGCATTCTCCAACAGCGTGAAAGTACCATTGACCCGCAGACCCTGAAGAGAGTAGCTCTCATATTGTTTCACGAGGCAGTCTATTTCTTGCACCAGTACCATCCTATTGCATCTGGAACAGGTGTCTGGTAGCACTGTGGAGAATAGGGAAAACCTGGAAGGTCAGTGCAATACCAGTGTCCACTAGGAAGTCCCTTTACCACTCAGTTCATTGTCCTGAATAGTGAACATGGTCTGGGATTGATTCTCTTTCGATTCACCAAGCTTGCCTTTGCCCTATACTTCTTACAGGGAGCAGAGCCTGGGGGGGATTGTTTCAGCACTCTAGAGGGGGAAACCCCCTGCAATCTCTGGCAGTGAGCAAGGAGAACAGACTATGCTAAATACTCCCCACAGTCATACACACCATAGTCGTAGAATGTGTGAAGCAGCTCATGTGCCATGAAGACCCCCATGGCTCCAAAGTTTACAGCACTGAGAAAGACAAAAAAAAATATGGGAAGGGTTATCAGCAGCCAAGCCAGGCTTGTGGCAAGGGAGGAGATAGACTCTGCACTGCCACTGAACATGTCTACCAGCTCTTTGGCTCTATGAAGTACCTACTACTCTCACAAATGATTCTTTGCAGGAAGGCTCCACGTTTTTTTTTTTCCTCCCAGTGCCCTCAGATCAAATGGGCAGAACAAAAATGCAAGTAAGTGTCTGATTCTTCAGACTGTCGGCACAGCAACCCCCTCCCACCCAGGCTCTGAGAATCAAGCTGATCTTTTTCTTATTTGATTTTTCCTGATAGGGAAAAAGTCTGCAAGAGAAATTCTGCCTTTATGCATTTCTGCTGTTCTCAAGATATGTCCTTAGAGGTATAACGTGAAGACAGAAAGGTTGCACAAGCAGTTCTACAAGACATCCTTAGTTCACAATCATGTAAACGTTGTGCTGGACACCAGAGGGATGATTGGAAATAAAAGTACCAGTACTCCCACAAACAGAGTTCCACCCATTTGACCCATCAAAGCCAGACTCCACCAGCAGTAGATTTCTTCTATATTCTCATCTCTTCCATTTCTTACTTACATTGATCAGTAATGAAACAGCAAATAACACTGACGTATATGCATTCACCATTAAACTTCAGAGTCAACACAGCATTGACATGATTGTGACAGATCAAAACTCCCTCAGAGCCTTTGCTTTCAGAGTGGCTATTATTGCAATGGTTCCGTTTTGTTCTCATCCTTAAAGACTATGGTTATTTTGGCACCATTTGGATTAAGCCTATTTTTTTAAAGAAAGCTTAGATGGTGGGGCCATAAGGAGACACCACCAGTTTGTTAGATCACTCAAAAAAAAGGCCGCTTTTAATAACTCCTGAACTCCAAATGGATAGGCTCAGCTGGGCTGACATTGGTAAGCTAAATAATCATTTCACTCTCATATTATTCAGTAGATGTGACTCTAAATATGGTGGGGAACTCTACTGAATTAAAAGATACCGTTTTTTCAGATATTACTGATGCATCCATTGTAAGCACATAGTGCTGGGAAATATATTTCTCTAGCCATTATTCTTTTGAGCTCTATTTCATTCTTGACATCCTAATGAGTTTTATGAGTCACTGAGTGTGCTGAGGTGGGTTATACAGTTGGTGATGGGAAATCACCATAGACCAAGAAGAATTATATTAATCAGACTACCTGTTTCATTTCAACTTGAACTCCTTCACTTAATGACAGCCTTTTTATATAATGAGAATTTAATAAGTCTGGGGTTCCCTCTGAGCATCCATTTCCTCTGGAAAAAGAAACTTGACATAAAGCAATGCCTTGCAGTGATCTTTGCCTTATTTGATCACTCAGTGTCACAGTGATTGCTTGGCAGAAATGTTCTCATTAGAATCAGGGAACAAAATTATACTCTGTACATTTCGACTGTGCCAAAGAGTTGATGGTTCATGCGGAGGCATACTTGCCTCATAAAGCAAAAAGGGGTTGCTTAAAAGAAGCATGTCTTTTTTTTTTGTAAAGGGAGAGCTGAATTCTGTTGTGTCCATGTGTAAATATGCTGGGTGGGATGCTATGTAACAAGGGTACTGTATTTCAGTCTGGGAATCCAGGCAGTAGTATGTTCTTATTTTCCAGTAAGAAAACAATGGGCTCAGAAACTGAGACAAACCTTCATCTACCCACTGGGTGCCTAAGTGCTATTTTATTTCACCTGCTTGAGTCTGAAAAAAATTAATGCAAAAGGTGGGTAGGTCTGCCCTCCTCCTCACTGCTTTTTGTCACTCAGTCTGAAGTGTCAAATGCTAGTGCATCATATAAATAGACACATGAATGGATTTTCTGGGACTTGAGTAGGATGGAATAGAATTACCTGAGGTGTCCTAAGCCTACTTAGATGCCCAGCAGGTCCTCACAGTCTTTCTGTTGAGACTCATTTTCCCCTTTCTATCATATTCTGAGTCACAAGGGCATGAGAACCCAATTAGATAGTATTCACTTGGCTTTAGTAAAAGCAACATTGTTTTTGTTTTCCTCTTTCAAGTTTTTTGAGGGTTTTTTTTTTTTTTTTTTAAAAGCAAAGCATGAAGGTCTTTTCTGGTCTGTTGCAGTAAATGACCATTTTTGTAGTGTATGTGCAAAAGAGATGACACACGGCTAACAGGCCTGCTGTGGGCTTTGCAGCTTCTCCATACCTGGGGAACCTGGTGTGGAAGAATGGGCTACGAAACATCCCTGCAGGGAAGACCACAGCATGGTTCCTCAGCGAATAGTAGGAACGGACTGACCAGGGGACCACCTTCCAGCTAGATTCACAAAAAGAGAAGAGGAAAGGTATACTATGTTAATTCCCAGTGTCCAAGCTCTCTCTCTGTCCCAGCCCCTTCCCTCCCCAGACCAAGCCTTTGTGGTAGTAGAGTAGGACTCCTCTGCAAAATCTATTATAGAAAGTAGGTGGTAAAACAGGAATATGAACCCAAAACTTCTAGTACTCATGCACGTGCTTTCCCAACAAGAACATCCTCTCTCCCCATTGCCTTAACTCATTCCTATCTGCTAGCTCAAATCTTCTTGACTATATTATACCTTCTATATTGCACTTACCACCAACAGTCATCCTATAATCTGTCCCTCACACATGAAGCCCTCCCCTGCTTCACTCCCAAATGACTAACACGCACCTATCCTGTGAGAGTGGATAAAGGAGCTTTTGGGAGAGACTTTCCCTCTGGGCCTTCAGGGAGGCTACCACATTGAGGAAAAAAGTGTCTTCATTGATCTTCAGCTACAGAGAGAGGAGGAGACAAAAGAAAGTGTCAAAGATCAGGGAAGAGCAAGACAGAGAAAAAAAAATGAATCAGGGAAAGGTGGCAGGGAAAGAAACAGCCTAAAGAAAAGGCTGTCTGTGAGGTCTATTCAAAGGGCAAATCAGGAAAATGTTGTCTCTACTGTACACACCTCAAAGGTCTCCTGCCTAGTATGTGCTAAAGGATCCCAAGGGATATTACCAGAGCACAAGCAGAGCACACAAGGTGATGAACAGGCTCACACCCAGTTTCCCCATAGCTGATCTCTTTCAGAAAGAGGAGGGAAGAAGGAAGGATAAGGAGTGCCATGTGAGCTATGTCTACACCCATTGGCCCCAGCCTCTGTCAGCAGCAGATGCTGTAGGGCCTGGTACCAGTACACTCTCCGTAATAAGAAAGGCACATTTGTAGTGTACGTCTCACATTCTTATACTCCTTGTCCACTTCAGCAGTTTGGAGGATGTAGTCTGGATAGCCAATCTCCACCCGGACCTTTGAAACCTTAAATCATAACAAGACAAGCATTACCTGCAAGGTCATCTCCATGTTGCTTTCCCCCTTAATGCTGAATTTCAGTGGAGGGTAAACAAGCCTTCTCCATTAGCTCGATCGCATTCAGAACTATTCTGTTGGCTGCTCTATGACACTTTTTCCTTTCACTTTTCTCCTTTTCAAACCTGGTGGCCCTAAGCCTAGTGCTGCCCTGGTAAAAGTCTGTCACTCTTCTAATGCAAATGCTTCCTTTGGTAGCTTTATACTTTTCTCTCCCCACATGTGGAAGCTGGTATGTACATGCATATTTTGTGATGTGTAAGAAGTGATGCTTGTGAACAAGCACCGAGCAACTCCAAATATACATGCCAGTAGGGCTGTGCGAAATGGAAGCATTTCATTTCGACCAGCGTTTCAACAGAACAGTGTTTCATTTTGACTTTCATTTCAAGTGAAAATGGCTGTTCTGTTCTGTCGAAATGTTTTGCCGTTTCAATGCTGTTTTGACATTTTGCCCATAGGATATAATGGGGAAGGTCAAAACAGCCTATAACTTTGTCATTTCTGGCCTGATTTGGAGGAAACACACAGAAATGGTAGCCCCATCTGAGGGCATAAAGTGTACTGAGTTTCAAGAAGATAGGTGCAGGGAGTTCGGAGAAACTGCACCCCAAAATCCTGAAAGGAAAACTCATGTCAAATGTATGTGTTAAGCCAAAGCAGGGTAAAAACTGCACGGTGGTAGCTCCTGCTGAGGGCACAAAGACTGCCAAGTTTCAAGGAGATAGGTGCAGGGGGTTGGGAAAACAGCACCTCAAGCTGCAGAGAAGCAAAAATCATGACATGGGCGACACTGTGTATCTTAAGGCACAGCAGAGATGGTGGCCCCTGCTATGGCCACAAAGCCTGCCAGCTGTCAAGGAGATAGATGCATGACTTCTGGGCTCTGGGGCCCTGCACCTCTGGCCACAGGCAGGCAAAACTCGTGTCATGGGTGCTTGTGCAACTGTGTCTGTCTTGGGGAAGCGTGGGAAGGGAGAACCACTGCAGGCCTGGCTGCTCAGCCCTGCTGCGGCCACTAAGCTTGCCATCTATCAAGGAGATAGGTGCAGGGGGAGTCTGGGTTCTGGGGCCTTGCACCCCTAGCTGCTGACAGGCAAAACTCGTGACATGCGTGCTTGTGCAATTGCTGCCTTTCATCAGGCAGCAGGACTGAAGATCCCCCATCACTTGTTACCAAGAAGCTGGGGATAATAATTGACCACAGTATGAACATGAACTGGCAGTGTGATGCTGTAGCCAGCAGGGCCAACAATACCCTGGCATGCATTACACTGCTGGCTCATGTTCATACTGTGCCCCAAGACAGACACAGTTGCACAAGCACCCATGACACGAGTTTTGCCTGTCAGCAGCTAGGGGTGCAGGGCCCCAAAACCCAGAACCCCTGCACCTATCTCTTGACAGCTGGCAGGCTTTGTCGCCTCAGTGGAGGCTACCATCCCTGCAGCTTTCACCCTGCTGCGCCTTAACACACACAGTGTCACCCATGTCATGAGTTTTGCTTGTCCACAGCTTGAGGTGCAGTTTCCCCCAAACACTTACACCTATCTTCTTAAACTTGGCATGCTTTGTGGCCTCAGCAGGGGCTAGCATGCCTGCAGTTTTGACCCTGCTGTGGTTTAACACATACACATGACATGAGTTTTGCTTTTAAGAATTTGAGGTGCAGTTTCCCAGAAACCCCTGCACCAATCTCCTT